CAAAAAAAAAAAAAAAAAAACAAGATCATCTTTTGAAAAAAATCCCAGCTTGCTCACAAACAGGTCTTTGACTGGAAATCTAACTTTGAACAGAAATCTAACATTACTTATCAGCTGAATAGCTAATGGCTGACAGGACATACCTGTCGGATTGTTAGAAGTCTCAAGTTATTTCCATTACTACTACACATCTTTGCATAATTCCCTCCTCACAGTATGGACTGGCCTAGTGACTTGCTTCTTTTTTTTTTTTTTTTTTTTTTTTGAGTTGGAGTCTCACTCTGTTGCCCAGACTGGAGTGCAGTGGCCCTCCCGGCCACCGCAGCCTCGACCTACTGGGCTCCGGCGATCCTTCCGCCTCAGCCTTCCGAGTAGCTGTAATTACAGGCATGCGCTACCACACCCGGCTAATTTTTTGATTTATCATAGAGATGAGGTCTCACCTGCCCAGGCGGGTCTCAAACCCGCGGGCTCAGGCAATCCACTCACCTCAGCCTCCCAAAGGCGCGGGATTACAGGCGTGACTTGCTTCTAACCAATAAAATTACCAAATGTGATCGAGTGTCACTTCTGTGATTATGCTACAAAATGTTGTGACTTTTTTCTTGTTAGCTGACTAATCTCCTTCCTGGCTTTGAAGAAGCAAGCAGCCATGTAGCAAAGGCCCATAAGGTAAGAAACTGAGGGGTGGCCAACAGCCAGCAAGGAACAGAATACGGCCAACAGCCACATGAGCTTAGAAGTAGATTTTTCCCTATTGGGGCCTCAGAAGAGACCTCAGTCCTGCTCAGCAACTTGATTGAAGCCTTATGGGAGCAGACACAGGTATGTCATGCCCAAGCTACTGATTCACAGAGACTATGGGATAATAAATCTGTGCTATGTTAAGCCGCTAAGATTGTAGTAATTTGTTACATAGCAATAGATAGCTAATAAAAAACATATTTGGATCACAGTCGTTTCTATTTCTTAAACTCTTTAATTGATTTATAAAAACAAAAATGTAGACTTACTTGGAATGAAGAAAATGTGCAACAATCCTTTGCTTCCCACCAATTTTATACAGGGTTCGACTTTAATTGAAATAGGGTATTTCATGTTATCTAAATGAAATAAAGATAATGTCAGTAAATTATTATAAATCACTTCCGATAAGTATAATATTCTGGATATCAACCTCTATAAGATGACTTTTGTATTAAAATTATATAAAGAGAAAAATTGATGGTTGAGAATAACTCCCCAGAGGAATGATATCAACAACATGCCAGAATAGGAAGCCCTGGATTCTCTTTGCTCCCACAAACCAATTCACAGACAAATTGCCTTTGTGAGAAATCAAACTAAGTGAAACACCCCTGCATCCCAGAAGAACATGAAGCCAGACTCATCAGAACAAGTAGGGAGATTTAGGACACCCTCTATCCTGAGACTTACCCAGCACAGCACTGTACAATCAGGAAGAGACCCCGGACTCCCGGTTTCACCCATGGGAGGGAAGATGGATCACATGTCTAGCACCACACCTTTTCTATGGGAACTCCCCAAAGGACCAGATTCTGTCTTGCCAGTCTTGGAGTTCTTATGGGTCTGGCACAGTCTACCACTCAGAAGAGAATAAAGACAGTGACTTGGACTGGTATGCATCATTGCTTGATCCTCTCTGCTCAGCACAGAGTAAGCTGATGCAAAAAAAATCCCAGTTCTCAGCTTTTCCTGTGGAGGGAAAGAGTTGGCCATGCATCTAGCTTCCCAACCTCTCTGGAGAACCCCTCAAAATTAGTATCTGTCTCACCAACTCAGGAGCTCCCACAGGTGAGGCATAGTATAGCATCCTGGAAAAGAATGAAGTCAGCAACTCGGGCCGAGAGGTGCCATGGCTCCTCTCCACCACCCCATCTCAAGCTTGGCACGAAATGAATGAACAAATGACATAGGTGCCTGCTTCCTCCTAAAGTGGAAGAGAATTGGTAGAGATCCCCAGAATCTCTGACCTGGCGAATGGGTGAGGGTCTTTTCCTGTGTGAGGCCAATCCATGAGGATTGTAAGAGGTGTCTGTTTTATCTAACATGCAGTCGCCCAAAAGAGTGAGCCAAAGAAAATGAAAAATCATGTAAAGATGTTTCAAACAAAGGAACTAAGGAAATGAAGTCATGTGATTTACCCGACAGAGAATAAACTGTCATAAAAATGCTCATTGAGGCCGGGTGTGGTGGTTCATACCTGTAATCCCAGTACTTTGGGAAGTGGAGGTGAGAGGATTGCCTGAGCCCATGGGCTCGAGACCAGCCTGGGCAACTCGGCAAGACCTCGCCTCTGTAATAAACCAAAACATTAGCTGGGTGTAGTGGCGCACACCTGCAGTTCCAGCTACTTGGAAGGCTAAGGCAGAAGGATTGCTTGAGCCCAGCAGGTCGAGGCTGTAGTGGCCATGAGCACACCACTGTACTCCAGCCTGAATGACAAAGTGAGACTCCAACTCAAAAAAAAATATGCTCATCAAGGTCAAGAGACTAATGCATGCATGCAATGAGAGTCATGAGAAAAAAGAGAAAACAATAAAAAGTGCCACACAGACCGGGCACAGTAGCTCAAGCCTGTAATCCCAGCACTTTGGGAGGCTGAGGTGAGAAGATTGCCTGAGCCCACAGGTTCAGGAACAGCCTGGGTAACTTGGCGGGACCAAATCTCTAAAATAAATCCAAAAAAAATTAGCCGGGCGTGATAGCGCATGCCTATAGTTCTGGCTACTTGGAAGGATCACCTGAGCCCAGCCAGTCAACACTGGGGTAACCATGAGTGTGCCAATGCACTCCAGCCTGGGCGACGGAGTAAGACTCCAACTCAAAAAATAAAAAATAAAAAAAATGAAAAGTACCACATAGAAATCATGGAGCTGAAGAATACAATAATTGAACCAAAAAAAATTATTACAGGAATTCAGCTGTAGACTAGATCAAGCAGAAGAAAAAAAAAATAGCAAACTCAGAGATATCACTGGAAATAATTCAATTTGAGGAACACAAAGAAAAAAGAATTTTTTTAAAAAGAGTGAAGAAAGCTTAAGGCAATTATGGGACACCATCAAGCAGACATTATGACAGTTCCAGAAGTAGAGGGGGAAAAAAGGACTAGAGAAAGCTTATTCAATGAGACAATGGTGGAAAACTCCCCAAATCTGAGAAAGAAAATAGAAATACAAATCCAAGAAGTCCAAAGAACATCAAATAAAATGAACTAAAAATATCCACACCAAGCCAGGTATGGTGGTGTATGACTCTAGTCCCAGCTGGGAGTCCTTATATGAGAGGATGAGGCAGGAGAACTACTTGAGCCCAGGATTTCCAGGCTGCAGTGAGCTATAACTGTACCACTACAGCCTAGCCTGGATGACAAAGCAAAATCGTGTCTCAAAAAAAAACCCAAAAACCTTTGCATTTTCAGTATCCTTTAGTGTAATTACTAAATCTGATGCCTGTTCAATAAAGACTTATTAAACTAAATTTCATTCAACTGACTCAACAAGAAATGAGATCAAGCTTTACCCACAGTAAAATATGGGTCATCCTTCTAATCTGCAGGGGTCTCACCTCGTCTCCATTTCCCATTATGACCTCATCTTTTACTACTATCCCTCTTACCACCTCAATCACAACCACACAGGCCTCCTTCCTATCCCTCCAACACATCAGACATGTTCCCACCTCAGGGCCTTGGCCCTTGTTCTTTCCTCTACCGCTTTCCCCAGATATCTGTGTGGCTCACTCCCTCAACTATTCTAAGTCCTTGCTAAATGACACCTTCTAGCCAGTGGAGAAGTAGCTCGCACCTGCATTCCTAGTACTTCGGGAGGCAGAGGCAAGAGGATTGCTTGAGCCCAGGGATTTGAGACCAGCCTGTGCAAGTTGACAAGGCCTCATCTCTACAACAAATCAAAAAATTAGCCAGGCATGGTGTTACACGCCTGTGACTCCAGCTACTTGGAAGGTTGAGGTGGAAGGATCACGTGAGCCCATCAGGTCGAGGCTATAGAGACCTGTACTCCAGCCTGAGTGACAGAGTGAGACTGACTCAAATACATAAATACATACATACATACATGCATACACACATACATACATAACACTGTCTCAATGAGGCCTTCCTTCCTAATTTCCTAATTTCTTTTTTTTTTTTTTTTTTTTT